CTAGATTAAAGTGACCTTATAAATCTCTGAAATTTTTATAAACATCATTGCATCATTATCATGAAATGGCTAAAAATATATACTTATATGAAAGTACTAATATAGAATAACTAAAACTGTTAGTGATATTCTCAGATTATACTTATCTCCAGCCAAAAATATTTCTCTCTCTCTCTCTCTTGCTCTCTCTTCTTAACAAATAAAATCTGCTATAGTTTTTTGATGTGTCTGCATGAAGCAACTTTTCTTGTGTTTTTACATCTGTGTATTAACTATTTGCTTCAAAATATTATGTGTCTCTATTGTTCTCTCCTTTTTTTTCATTCCCTACTCTCCTGAACCCTTCTTCATTGTAATCAGGGAAGTTGAGTAGGGACTGTTTGTGCCTCAAGAGGTCTCAAATGTAGCCTCTGTCAGCATCCTGTGCCTCTGCCTGGTCTACAGGTAACTATGAATGTTCCACTTGATCCCAGAAGTGATCCTGTCTAACCCAAGGACATGTCTCTTAGTAAATGTCCCCTACATGTAAAAGTAGGAAGAGATTTGGGAATTGGCCTGTTGATCTGTCCCTGTATTTTCTAGTAGATTTCTCTAAATCTTCACACACAGGAAAATCAGTTTTTTGTATTAATCTCTAAAAAGTCATCTGATTTTCTTAGAAATATTCACAATGTATAACTTCTAAACACTTTTTATAGTCTTGCTTCTATGCTTAAATAGGTATCCACATATAATTAGGATATAGAATATAAATTTTCTCTGAACACAAAATCTATATATTGAAGTTATAATGGGGTAGTATAATTAAGGTAGAAATCAGGAGGTTTACAATGATAGTAACAACTATCATTGGTCTTTTAAGACAAATTACAGATTGGAGTAAGTAGATCATCCCTGAAGCTCCAAATTGTTCCTGATTCAGTTCATAGAACTACAACCCTCTAAGGAGCATCTTTCCATAACCCATGACTTATAAAACCTGTTAGGCTTGATTGCTTTTTTTAACCTTGACCATAGATGTTTACATAAAGGAATACATGACCTTTTTGTAAGACTGGTTCTTGAACACATGACCTTCGACGGTATTTCTAGTAGCTGGCCTAAAATCCTAGGACCGGGGGAAAAACATATCAAAATAATCACTCTCTATGTAACATTGTAATTATTACTTGCATTTAAATAAAAACACTACAGCCCTTCTTTATTGTAACAAATGTTTACAGGTAAATTACTTTACTTTTCCTGGCTTCTCTAAGAAGTGAAGATATCAATACTCACATTGTTTTCTTCTACCCTCTGAAGAGCAGTGTAGTATAGTAGTAAGTACATAGTGGTTCTGCTAATGTTAGATTTGACTGGAAGTTGTTCACCACATACCAGTAGCCTCTCTTTGATTTCTTTTGTAAATAATGAATGTGTTAAATTACTGAAATAAACTAAATTATTCAGATCTTCAGTGCTTTCACTATATATAAAAAGGAAAGCATTCCACTTTCTTTTATGATCAGGACCAAGTTAAATCCAAAGATTAGCACTTTCCTGGTATAGAAAGCAGTGGTAGGGTGTTCAAATGAATGGCATATTACCTGGGGAAAAACCAAGAAACTAATTGGCAGATCAAGGTAGAGTAAAGAAAATATGTGAGAAAATATTTAGATTTAATGGGAGGAAGGCAGCAAATCACACTGCCATGTGTGTACCAATGCAACTATCTTGCATGTTCTTCAAATGTACCCCAAAACCTAAAATGCAATTTAAAAAAAAAAAGAAAAAAAAAGATGTAAAGGAAAAGTAGCAGCACTGAGGTGCAGAAGGACTGCTATACATGGGAATGACCATCTTCAGCATTAAGTGATTAAAGGAAGTAAATTGACCTTGCTTCCACCTGATCTATCTGGCTAGTCAACTGCATATTAATATTACATTTAACAATATTATTTTGTCTCCAAAGAACTTAAAATACTTTCATTTAGTTAACTCTCAAAATATTTATTAACATACCACCTTCCTCAAATGAAGTACTATTGCTTGTCCAATACCTTGCAAAAAGCAACTTTTAAAATTGATGCTAGAATCTCCGTAGTGTCAATACAGCTGTGTCTTCAAAAAGAAAACTGAAGTGGATGCATGGCAAAGGTTGGATAAATACAAAGAGCCTCAACCAAAAATCTATCAAGGACATTATGTCCTGGGATGAGATAATCAAGCTGTTCTTTTTATACCAAAACAGCTAGTTGACTCCACTCATTTAGTTAAATAATCTTTAGGCCAATTATTTGGCATCCTGTACATGAGGCAAATAGTTGACTGATTTTCAATTTCCATGATATTCAGGGGTGTGGCATTTCTCATGCTTGACCCAGGTTCTGTTAACTTTACGGAGAAGAGGGCAGTTTTTAAAATTTGTTTATGTTTTTCTTCTGAGGATGGCTAGATAATTATTTTCAAATTCTAAAGAGGATCTAATTGGCTCAAATTTCGTCACAGTTTTGATTTAAATATTTAGAAATGCTCAGATATGTACTCAATGAACTGTTATTTGGATGCAGCCAGCAGCTGAAAACTTGTTCCATTCCCAAATGTATATCATTTTTAAAAAGCACCACATGGATCTAGAAAGTACAAAACAATGTAAACATTGGTAACTGCACAATATATCAGTCTCCCTTCCTGCATTCTCTCCTGATCAGCAGTGAGGAACATAAGCCACAAATGTTTACCAAACTGAAAAATCACTGGACGGTTATGTTCAAATCAAGGATCTGTTTTTAGTTACAAGTAACAAAATCCAATACAACCAACCTACCCAAATTGCTGAGAAAAAAAAAGGTTAAAAGTTCACATAAATCTGTATGTGCTGAACTTACATTTAAGGTTTTAATCACAAATAAAAAGGTTTATATAGTATGTTGAATGGACAAATAAGTATTCCCAGGTAAGACATGTTATATGATATGTAATATTGATATTTGTCATTTCACTGAAAATTTTTTATATACATGTTAATAATATCTAAATAATTATAAATCATGTTATAAATGAAGTTTATCTAATTTTCAAGTAATTAGTTGTTTACTTAACAAGAAATATATACTTAATATCTAGTTTCTGTCAGGCTTATATATGCCAATAGGAATGCATTATTGAATAAAACAGTTCATGTTCTTAAAATAACCAAAGTGTAGTAAAATAAAACATACATGTAAATAAATAATTGATATATTCTTTAACAGATAAATGCAAGTTGTGGTCATATCTTGTCTCGCAGGATCCAAGTGATACGTTACCTAGGTTGGAATGCTGCCAAAATAGACCTGCCTCATTCTGAATTTTCTATTTTGATGAATAAATGTAAAGTATCATTCTGTAAACCCAAAGATATACTAGAAATTTTTGTAGAAGAAAAAAGCCTTTAAAAATGACTGATACCTAGAAATAATTTAGGCTCTCTAGTCTACTAGTCTTGCAATTTCAAACAAAAAGAAACAGAAACATTAAAATGCTCGTCTGTGTGTAGGTATAGAAGATATTCCTGATCTTACTGCTCAACAGAATTAATAAAAAATTTAGGTACTGTTTTCTATAGTCATAGAGCAGCATCAAATCTGGCAGTAGTGGTATCACTTATTTGATCAATGTAGACAGACAAAGTAATCAGACCAAAATAAAGTTGACCTTCCGTACTCTTCTCCACAGTAGACTTTTCATTTAAGGTTATCATTTTTCTAAAACATCATTTTGGTACCCTTCAGATCAAAATGTGTTTATATGGTTTGCATAAATAAGATTTGGTAAATAACTTGATTTTCTGGGAATGGATCCAAGTGAAACCTCTAATCTTTTGAAGTTCATCTCTTAGTGATTCTTAAGCAGAACTCAGCTTTTTTGAAGTCCCACTGAAGTATTTAGTGGCTTGCTTTGCTAATCCAAGAAAGACTTCAGAACTACATTTAACAGAGAACACATGGCTCCTTTCCTAATGTCCTTTCTGGCCATTATAATAGTACATTCAAAAAAGCAATCATGTCACATTAGACTAGACAAACACATTGGAAGATACTGACCACAGTCACTACATTTTATTTGTGCACCCAGATTTCCATGCCTAATAAACAACCTGCAATAACTGAGAAATAAGAAAAAATATGTCAAAATTTGTTACTTTGCAAGTTAATACATTTTATATATTTTAGTATAGAGTGGAGATTCAAAGCATAAAAATTATCTCTAGCAAAATATTTTGTATTCTTTTTACAGTATTAGGGAAAAATAAGAATCTTTTCACAGAATCAGTTGAGAAAAGTCAGAAGTTATTACCAAAGCTGTAGAATTCCACCTTATCCCTTGAAAATCGAGTCCAGAATTCGGTCTAATACATTTATTCAACATTTCCATTCCCAAGCTTCAGTGTTATTTACTTCAATGTCTTTGGAAGACAACCAGTTTGATCCGCCACTCTCCACCCTCAACTGAATCTATCTACTATTTGTTCATTATAGAGGCAAAAATCTTTACATATCTTGTTGATAGGTTGTATGTTTGACTCAATGGAAGAAATCAAATTATTTCATCACAGTGGTATTTATTGTTCCTTTGTTTAAATAAAAATGGAGTTTCAACTATTCTAGCACTAGAATGGAGTTTAGAAAGTATAGTCTAACTTCCATATCTTAAAACTGCAGAAAGTAAGGCCTAGAGAAGTCATGGGGAGGATTGAAAAATTTAAAAGATTTCCAGTTCACATGAAGCAGATCTCTAGAAGAATAAATTAAATGTCAGTATACGTGATAAGAAGTAGTAAAAATTGTCAGAGCAGATAATAGTTAAAAATAAACACTAGCATTTCTTGGAAACTGTCTTGTTCATTTGTGCTGCTGTAACAAAATACCACATATGGGGTAATTTATAAAGAACAGAAATGTATTTCTCACTGTTATGGAGGCTGTGAAGTCCAAGATCAGGCACTGGCATTGGTGTCTGGTGAGGGCCTGTTTTATTGATGGTTCCTTCTCATGGTGGCATTCTTCCATGGTGGTAGGTAGAAGGGCCAAAAGGGACTGAACTTACTTTCTCAATCCCTTTCATAAGGGCACCTAATCCCTGTCATGAAGCAGAGCCCTCATGACTTGATCACCTCCCATAAGGTCCCATCTCTTGTGCCACCACCCTGAGGATTAGATTTCAACAGGAATTTTGGAGGAGACGCATCATTAAAACCATACCAAACACCTCACAGGGGTCAGAGACTGTGTCACATATTTTATTTACATGATCTTATTCAAGCCATACAGCAATTCCATGAGAAAGGCACTATTATTTACTCCATAGTAGACAAGAAATCGAAACACACAAAATTGTATAATTTGTCCAAGAAAAACAATTAGTAAAGTATGAAGCAAATATTTACACATAGGCATTCGAACTACAAAAGCTACATTTTTTCATTATTATAATATACTGTCATGGGATATCACATGAGACATATGAGAATTTTCTAAGATTTCTTGCTTTGCTATCATGAAGAATATAACAAGCAGCTAAAAGTAGGCTATACAATTGTCATTAAGCTAAAATTCCAGAGTCAAAATTACTTACTAGGATTTTTTAACTCCCAAAGGAAAGATCTTATATTTTTTATAGGGTATAAGAAGCCATCTTTGGAAATCAATTTTTTTATTCCAGGTTTGTTTCATGTATAATTTGGCCATCATTTTGATTTAAGAACTAACCCTTTAAAAGGGATTTTCTTTCTTTGGAACTGTGGTATCATTTACCCCTTCTTCAGTCTCCATCATTACTGTTTACTGAATTGCCTTCACTTTTAATGAGAACAGAAAATGTTTATAACTTGTCCTATCCAAAACCAGAATAATTTCCAAACATTTCCAGAGGAATGGATAATTTTAAGGTATAAAACTAGTTTCTAATGTATATCCTTTTGAAATGAATGCTTTTGTGAAGAGAAAGTATAGGCCTGATATACAGTATACCAAAGGGAAAGGAAAAGGGGATTGATAGTTTATTCACTTTATAGAATAAACTCAACAAAAGATAACATTACTCTTAAACATAATTTCCTAATCTCATTTTAGTTGGTAGAGGCAGTGGTGATAATGCTCAGCTATTACTAAGTTTAAGTAAGAACATTTCTGGATAATTATTGTTTGTTGATTTATTACTATTACTAGAAATGCCATGCTACCATCGCTATCTGATGATCAGAAAGTGTATATCATTTAATGTAGTGCCTTTCATTATATGTATGATATTCAGAAAATTCATATGACATTAATATCGTATTGACTTAAGTGTAGATATTAATATTTGTTTTGAACCTGTTGCATATCTGTACTTCGCTTACTTTATGCTATTTGTTCTTAACCATCATTGGAAGTAAAATGTATTATATTTTACCCATATACAACATAGAAAAAAGCAGAGTTGAAATTTGAACCCAGGTCTGCCTGATCCCAGAACCCACCTTTCATTATTGCTGCCTGCTCGCTGATACTGCTTTTCAAACAGAGGGATTTTAAAATAGATTTATATTTTGTCTGTTATCTTGTTTATTAAGCTCAGTAGCCTTTAAAGTACTTTTGATTTTAAAGGCATACATGTGGGGAAAAAAGACAAGTTCTGTAACTTGTGTCTCCTTATCTTTAAAATATGAATAGTAATTAAAACATAATTATTGTGGGGACTCATTAAGATAATAAATGCAGGCCCTCAATGCATGCCTTGGCATTTATCTTTCAAAAAATGAGAACTATTAATACAAGTAAAACCCTTACTCCATCAGTGTGCCTTCTCCCTGCCTTCCAACACATGCATATCATCCTCATCATCCCCATGATCCTCCTCCTCATCCTCATCATCCCCATCATCCTCCCATTATTATCCTCATTAGCCTCATCATCATCGTCATTGTCGTCATGATCCCCGTCATCATTCACCACTAACTTTTCCTTCCTAAGACGTTCTTATTGCTAAGGGCCCTTCTAAGGTGGCACACCCATAAAAACAACATTGGATTCAACAAAGTTGCTCAACCTTTGCCTTTCTCCCCAACTTTGGTTTTCCATTTGCCTTTGAAAAGAGCCAACATTTTCACCCCATGTGCCTCACAGCAGGAAGTTCTGTCCTCATTTTTTCCGTCACATTGCTTCTTCAATCATTCATTTATTTTTAATGCAGAAAACATCTATGGAGAGTCTGCTGTACCCTGGAAATTTCACAATGAACATGTCCCAGCCTTTCAACCACTTAAAATGGGAGCTAGGTATAAGCAAACAAGCAGTTGTGATATAGAGTGACAAGAGCTGCCTACTGGGCAAGTACTGGGTATTACAAAAGCACAGGAGAGGGACACCTAACTCAGCTCTGGATGGTCAGAGAAGACTTCCTGAAAAAGAAATGACATCCAAGTTGAGCCCAGAAAAAAATGGATGTTCACCTGGTAGGAAGGGGCAGAGAGTGTTCCAGGCAGAAAGGATATGACCATATACAAACATTTGGAGAAAAGAGCTCTGTGGGTTTGGAGAACTGCATTTAGTTTCATATCACTATAGTACAGAGTGAGGAAAGGATGTGTTGAGAGATAATACTGGAGAAAGACACAAAGGCCAGATCATGGAAGGCCTTATGTGCTCTTCTTGGGAGTTAGGACGTGATCCCAAAGTTAGCGAGGAGCTATGGATGATTTTAAGCTGGGATACAGTGTAGAGGCTGTATCCAAGGAAAAATCACCTTATTGCTTTCATAAACACCAACCTTTGAGGTGGAGAGTGGAAGGGCTTGAGTTTTCAACCTGAGCTCTATGGATAGTCTGTGGATGTTTAGAGAATTTGCAAGTTCCCTGAAATTGTAGACAAAATTATTAGCTGCATGTGTTTTTGGGGGATAGGAGGAGAGGCAGAATTCGTAGCTATGTGAAATCCTCAAAAGGAACTGTGATCCAAATCAGTGTTTGAAACCACTGCTCTAGAGGCAGAAAGCTACAAGCCAACTTATAGAGCAGAAATTTGAAATCTGCCATACACAAGAGTCCTTCTAAAGTGGAAGAATTTCTCTTTTAAGAAAAATTTCTCATTCCTTCCCCTGAGTTACCAAGCTCTTCCCACTCCACCCTGACCCACTGACGTTTTGTTCCTGGCCTCTGTCCCACTGAATGCTGCTTTCTCACTCATGGAACTAGTCTCTGTGCCAACCCATAATACGTGTCTACCCCGGAGGCTAAGAATAGACACAGTGTCCTGGTGACTTAAAAATTGGGTAACATCTGAAGGATAAACTCTATAGTGACTACAAAATTCATGCTAATCATTTGAAGTAAACAGATTATAAACATATGATTGAGGTTTCCTTGCAGGGTGGAGGAGAAGGTACTGAGCAAGTAAAGAAAATTCCCCGTTAAATAGAAGGGAAAAGCCGCTACTATTCACAATTGTGAAGGGGAAAGAATACGAAACCAAATACTTTCCTCTGTTTTTTTTCAAGCATGACCTTTCAACATCTCCACCACCCCACATCTCACTCCCAATAAGTTCTATCAGATAAGCTACATTTCTTTCACGTGAATAGACTTTTTTCCATTTATTTCTTCTTAATGTATTTTCCCAGATTTGGATCTGTGTTCCTCATATCTCAGTTAGGTGTGTGACTCTGTGCAAGTCAATTCCTTAGACTTTCTGGGCAATGTCTTCATCTGTGAAATAAAGTTGGATGAAAGATCTGTAAGTTGCTGTTTAGTTCCTGCTATGTGTAATACTTCCTGGAGTGGAGGGCTATTGTAAATAGAGTTTATGATAAATATTTTTTATTTTCAACTTGTCAGTTACCTTAAAGGATTGCTGGGTATTTCATCTAAGGCATGTAAAAAATTTAATGTAAAAGACCAAAGTACCTCATATTATTTTTCAATACAGCCAAGTATAGCAAGGGTCAAGAAACTTTTTCTGTAAAGGGGCAGATAGTAAATATTTTAGGCTTTGTGTGCCATAGGTCTCTGCCACAACTATTCAACTCTGCTATACTGGGAAAGCAGCCACAGGCATATGAATGAATGTACATGACTGTGTTCCAATAAAATTTTATTTACCAAACAAGTGGCAGGCTGGATTAGGTGGTCATGCCATAGTTTGCTGACCCTTGAAATAGAAGACTGGAGGATCTGGTAACCTGAAGATAGGAGGGTTTCATCCCTTCGGTCTTTTCTGTTCATAAGCTGTTTCCTGGATGATTTCCTGGCGATTGTTTTGTTGTCATTGTTGTTGTCGTTGTTGTGTCAAACAAGAACTGCTCAATTATGCTGGCCACCCACAGCCACCTCACTATTAATGCCCCAAATAAATAACTTTGAGTGGGTGGGCCTGCCAGCTTGTAAGGAATCTGAAACAGTTCAGGCAACTTGTTTCTCAAGCACAGAGATAAATAAATGGCTTCATCAGCAGACAGTTCTGAAGATGAATAGCCGAGAGGAATAGTTAAGCAGTTAGTTCATTGAGACAGGGAAGGAAAGACAAAAGAGGGAAAGAGAGAAGAGAGTAGAGAGAAGAAAGATTGATTGAATAGCAAACCAGTTTGAGAGATCTACTGTACAGACTTGCCCAGCTGGGTACTTTATCTTGAATTTGTTTTGCAAATTGCAGATGCCTAGCTCTAGAAGCCAAGAAAAAGAAAGGGCAGTCATCCCACGCCAAAATACTCTCATGGACCTCAAGTAATTTACATTACTTCATTTTTATGGGGAGAAAAAATAATTATATAGTTCCCTTCCAAAATAAGTGAAGAGAAACAGAGAGCTATTTTACCCAGATGCCTAAAACAAGACAAATATTTTGTAGACCTTTTTTTTTTTAATTAAGAGAACAATACGTGCCCAGTAATTTTGACTGCTTTGTGAAAGTTATTGTGGCACTGTTCAGCCCACAAAACTGCTTTAACTATAAAACTGACTGAATCCAATATGCCTTAATATTTCCATATACACTTCAGTAAAGCTCGGGATATTTTGTACCCTATTCTACCTTTTGGTGAAATCAATCCTGCCTGAAGGGTCCTTACAATTCCATTGAAATGAAAAAAATAGGTAATCCCAGTGATTTTGTTAGTTAATATCTTTTGTAAAGATCTCTCACATATTGACCATGATTTACAGAGACACTTGGTCAAAGTAATACCCAGGCCTATCCTCTGCTGTTGATTATTGAGATTTACAAGATTTTCTTCACGCATACTATTTCTTTAAATATTTATCCCAGAAAATTTAAAGAAAAGGGTAGTCGTGAATTCACTGGTCGAAGGCTGGGACAGTAGGGTTTGTTCTTAATTTTTTAATTTGAACTGTTTTTCAAAAGGGCTTCAAACTGCCTTTGAGAGAAACACAGTTAATACAGAGGACAGGTAATTTTTCTTCTAAGGAAAAAGGATACCCATTTAAAAGAGTTCATGTTTTCTCCTAATTGTCTTCCATGTTTGTAGACGTAGCTTGCAACCTCAGTGAGCTAGTGCTTCCCATGGTGATCCATATACAAGATATTAAACCAATGAAGTAAAAACTTAGGGAAAGCTAATTTTTTAATCAGATTTTTTTCCATAAGTTAAAATGTGCATCCAGCATCCTTGTGAAGTTACTTAACTTGTGAGCATGTTTTCTTTGCCTCAAGCTAAAAGATTCAGCCATCATACACCTGATTTACCAAATGGTCTCCTAACATCCTTAAGACCATTCTAGCAAATAGATGGTTCATCGGTAGCACAGTTGGAAAACTTAAAAGTATAGGCAAGTGGCAGGATTTTCCAGCAGGCTGCATGGACTTTGTTGCCCTCTTAATATAGCAGTGCCCACAATCCACGGTGTGACTATGACTGTCTTCTCTCCTTGGAGGTAAAAGCCCTGTAAACAAGAACTGTGTCCAAATTACCTTCATTTCTCCAGTGCCTTGTGAAATGCCTGGTACATAGGTTATACATAGTCAGTATCTGCTTTTTTGGAAAGTAAGTGAATGAATGAAAGCCATCATGTGTGAAGCATTTTCTTTGTTCATATGTTATTAAAAATAGCACCCTAGTATTCTGAAGAGAATTCCAAATAATATGTCAAGAATATTTCTGTAAATTTAGCAGAGGTTGAATGATCATGTGCTAGGGATGTGATATAAGAAATTGCAGTTTGGAGATTTGGACTAGAATGGACAGGTAAGGAGGTTAGGTAGGTAGATGGATGGATGAGATGGATGGATGGATGGGATAGATGGATGGATGGGATGGATGGGATGGACGGATGGATGGGATGGATGGATGGATGGGATGGATGGATGGATGGGATAGATGGATGGATGGATGGGATGGATGGATGGATGGATGGATGGGATGGATGGATGGATGGGATGGATGGATGGGATGGATGGATGATTGGGATGGATGGATGGGATGGATGGATGGATGGATGGATGGATGGGATAGATGGATGGGATGGATAGATGGATGGATGGATGGGATNGATGGGATGGATGGATGGGATGGATGGATGGATGGGATGGATGGATGGTTTGATGGGATGGATGGATGGATGGGATGGATGGATGGATGGATGGGATAGATGGATGGATGGATGGGATGGATAGATGGATGGATGGATGGGATGGATGGATGGGATAGATGGATGGATGGGATAGATGGATGGATGGATGGGATAGATGGATGGATGGATGGGATGGATAGGTGGATAGATGGATGGGATGGATGGATAGATAGATAGATAGACAGACAGACAAATAGAAATTTGGGTAGATAGAGGCTTTGCTATATAGGGAAGTTTTGCTATATAAAGAGTCTAGTATCCGTATGAATTTGAGTTCAAAATTCTTGAGCAGTTCGATCAAGAATATCTAGCCTCTTCTTAAATGACAGATGAAGATGAAAACATTTAAAAAATACATATATGAATGTATTATGAAATCTTCACTACTGATTTGAGATTATTTTAAAACATTCTCAGAGTGAAAGAGCAAAGATGGGATGACTAAATGCTAGCAGTGGTTAGGGACAGAGCAGTGAATTTCTAATGAAGGGCCAAAGCATGAGTGGAAGAGGATGCTCACAAGTGGGCCTTAGAGTGAGCTCGGGACCACTTGCGTACAGCTGAAAAATATTGAAATGAAGATCTCAGATGCTTTTTGATTGGATGCTTTATCATTTTGAGAAAAAGATATATCCCACTAAGAGATTATGATTCTAAAACTCATACAAATGTTTTTTGTTTTAGATTCATGAGAAGTCCTTTTAGTGTCTTTTTACTGCTTCATTCCCAAGGTCCAGATGAATGCATGATGCACAACAGATACTTCATAAATATTTGTTGAATTAATTAATAAGAGTAAACTGAAGGTAATAATTCTAAAGACAGGCCGATTACTGATAGAACCTTATTAAAAGAATACAAACAGGTTTTCATTGGTCTGGCAGTCCTGTGCTGGGTTAAAACAAGGATCAAGAAGTTCTATCTTCACTTAAGCACTAGCATGCTACACTATCTCATTGACTAATGCTATAAAAAGACTTTAAGATCTCTAATGCGCACATACACGCAGTCGCAAACGTGGAGAACTATCTAGAAGTGTACAATAAATATATATTACTGTGTACTCATAATTGATTTAAAACCCAGGAGGATAGGACCAGAAACCTATTTTGTAGGTTAGAATCAAACACTGTAATTTTATAGGTAAAAACAGGAAAAGAACACATAAAATGGAAGATCATGCAAGTTCATGATTTGAACCAGCCATTGACTATTCCTTCCTGCCAAATCAATCTTTAACTACAGTTTCTCTAGAAAACTGGGTTTTCTATCATGTGAAAGACTACATGGATGAAAATAGCCCAGTTCTTTCACAATCACATACACGCATGTATGCACACATATGCACATACTCTCATCTATCAGTTGAGCATGTGCCATTTTTACCATGGCTGTCATATGCCCTTCAGGAGAAAATGTGTGCTGGGCAAAATACAGATGATTTCTATTAAGTTCCCCATCGGTTGAGTTTAAAGCAAAGAGTGAGGCTGAATATGAAAATCAAAGCCAATGCATCGAAGTAGATTTTTCTTTTAAACTATTTTATGTACTAAAGTTTGCAGAACATCTTGGCAATGACAGCAAGCCTGTGTAAGGAGGTATTTTGTGTTTTATAGCAAACATAAGTACAAAAAAATGCAACAGCAGCTAAATATTACTTCAATCATGAATTCAAAGAATGTGTATAGCAGGTACATGGTAAAACCCATGAGCTAGAAACTACAAGGTTTAAAAATTTTTTACGAAATTCCAAAGAGTTTATCTCTTATTCTTTCCTCCATTCCAGGGCACCTCCCTTCACCCCAGCACTAGTTTCAAATTTGGAAAACCCTCCAGACCCTAGGGAAAAGAGTCCTAAAGTATCTTTTGGTATCTTGAAGGAATGAAACTACATTTAGCACAGTCTATCTGTTTGATTAGAGAGAGAAAGAGGCATAGTTACATTTTCATGGCATGTAGATCTCTTATAAATCTTAGAAAAGGGTGGTTTTCTCTGGAAATTATTTTGGAGTTCATCAATTCTGCCAACATTGAGCACTCTGCCTACCTCTTTTCTTTCTCTTCTTTTTCCCCTTTTCTAAATACATGTCGGTCTCTAGAAAATAAAAAATTGCTTTTCAATA